CAAAACCCAACCTTTTGCTGTCTCCAGGAAACACATTTAGCTACAAAAGATAAAAATAGGCTCAAAGTCAAAGGATGGAAAACAATCCTACAAGCAAATGGGCCAAAAAAGAAAGCAGGAACAGCTATACTTATATCAGATAAAACAGACTTCAAACTCAAAAAAATAAAAAGAGACCCCAATGGTCACTACATTATGATTAAGGGGACAATACTTCAAGAAGAAATAACACTCATTAACATATACTCACCAAACGAAAGAGCACCAAAATATATCAGACAACTGTTGTCCTCTCTGAAAACAGACATCAGAGAAAACACATATGTAGTGGGAGACTTCAACACACCACTATCAACAATGGATAGATCAACAAGACAAAAAATAAGTAAAGAAACTAAAGCTCTAAATAAGGACCTAGAGCATTTGGGCTTAACAGACATCTATAGAACACTAAACCCAAAAAAAACGGAGTACACATTTTTCTCAAGCGCACACGGATCATTCTCCAGGATCGATCACATACTGGGGCACAAGACAAACATCAACAGATACACCAAGATTGAAATCATACCAACCATCTTTTCTGACCATGAAGGCAACAAACTAAAAATAAATCATAAAAAGAAGGCAAGGAACTATCCTACCTCATGGAGACTAAAAGCCACACTACTGGAAGACCACTGGACTAACGAGGAGATCAAAGAAGAAATTAAAAAATTCTTTGAATTGAATGACAAGGAGGACACCAATATCCTAAATGTATGGGATGCAGCAAAAGCAGTAATAAGAGGAAAATATATAGCAATAGAAGCTCACATCAAAAAACAAGAAAGAACTCAAAGAAACAACCTAATCTCGAAGCTCAAAGATCTAGAAAAAGAACAACAAAAAAACCCCAGAACCAGTAGAAGAAAAGAAATAATAAAAACCAAAGCAGAAATAAATGAAATTGAAACTAAAAAAACAATCCAAAAGATCAATGAAACCAAGAGCTGGTTCTTTGAAAAAATAAATAAAATAGACAAACCCCTAGCCAGGCTCACAAAGGAAAAAAGGGAGAAAGCACAAATACACAGGATCATAAATGAAAGAGGAGAAATCACAACGGACACAGCAGAAATCAAAAGAATAATCAGTAACTACTATGAACAGTTATATGGAAACAAGTTCAACAATCTAGAGGAGATGGACAAATTCCTACAACTCTACAATCACCCAAAGCTAGATAAAGAAGAAATAGAACACCTAAACAGACCAATTACAAGCAGCGAAATTGAAATGGTAATTAAAAACCTCCCCAAAAACAAAAGTCCAGGACCTGATGGATTTACAAATGAATTCTACCAAACATTCAGAGACGAATTAGTGCCTATCCTTCACAAACTCTTCCAAAAAATTGAGAAGGAAGGGACAATACCAAACACGTTCTATGAAGCCAATATTACACTAATACCAAAACCGAATAAGGACAACACAAAAAAGGAAAACTATAGGCCAATCTCCCTAATGAACACTGATGCAAAAATCCTCAATAAAATTTTAGCTATCAGAATCCAACAATGTATCCATAAGATAATTCACCACGACCAAGTTGGATTCATTCCAGGGGCACAAGGATGGTTTAACATCCGAAAATCAATCAACGTTATCCAACACATCAACAAAAAGAAATATAAAAACCATATGATAATATCAATAGATGCTGAGAAAGCTTTCGACAAAGTGCAACACCCATTCATGATAAAAGCCCTTGAAATTCTTGGGATACAAGGAACATACCTCAACATCATAAAGGCCATCTATGACAAGCCAACAGCCAGTATCATTCTCAATGGTGAAAAGCTGAAAGCAATTCCATTAAGATCTGGAACAAGACAAGGATGTCCACTCTCACCACTGCTTTTCAATATAATACTGGAAGTCCTAGCCAGAGCAATAAGACAAGAGAAAGACATCCAAGGAATCCAAATAGGAAAAGAAGAAGTCAAACTATCACTATTTGCAGACGATATGATAATATACATAGAGAACCCCAAAATCTCCACAGAAAAACTAATTCAACTCATCAATCAATTCAGTAAAGTGGCAGGATACAAAATCAACACGCAAAAGTCAGTAGCCTTCCTATACACAAACAATAAATCTGAAGAAGAAGAAATCAAAAAAACCACCCCTTTTATTATCGAAACAAAAAAAATCAAATATTTGGGAATAAATCTAACAAAAGAGGTAAAGGACCTATACAAAGAAAACTATAAAACACTGTTAAAAGAAATAGAAGAAGACACAAAGAAATGGAAAGACATCCCCTGCTCATGGATTGGAAGAATAAACATTATTAAAATGGCCATCCTACCAAAAGCAATATACAGATTCAATGCTATTCCAATCAAAATCTCAATGGCATTCTTCAAAGAAATAGAACAATTATTGATGAAATTCATATGGAATCACCAAAAACCCCGAATAGCCAAAGCTCTACTGAAAAAAAAAGAAGGAAATGGAGGCATCACACTCCCAGACTTCAAACTATACTACAAAGCCATAATCATCAAAACTGCATGGTATTGGAACAAGAACAGACATACAGACCAATGGAATCGAATAGAAAATCCAGAAATAAACCCACAGATTTATGGTCAACTAATCTTTGACAAAGGAGCAAAGACTATGCATTGGAGCAAAGAAAGTTTGTTCAATAAATGGTGCTGGGAAAACTGGGTCGCTACATGCAAAAGAATGAAGCTTGACCACTACCTCACACCATACACAAAAATCAACTCAAAATGGATTAAAGAACTAGACATAAGACCTGAAACCATAAAATACATAGAAGGAAATATAGGCGAAACACTACGGGATTTGCACATCAAAGACATCTTTACAGACACATCACCCAAAGCAGTGATAGTGAAGAGAAAGATAAACAGCTGGGACTACATCAAATTAAAGAGCTTCTGCACAGCAAAAGAGACAATAACAAAAACAAAGAGAAACCCCACCAACTGGGAGAACATTTTTGCACACAACACTAATGATAAAGGACTGATCACAAAAATCTGCAAAGAGCTGATGAGACTCAGCAACAACAAAGAAAATAATCCAGTCAAAAAATGGGCAGAAGAGCTAAAAAGAAACTTTTCTGAAGAGGAAATGCAAATGGCCAACAGACATATGAAAAAATGTTCAACATCACTTGTAATCAGGGAAATGCAAATCAAAACTACCATGAGATACCATCTCACACCAGTGAGAATGGCACATATTAAAAAAACTAGCAACAACAAATGTTGGCGAGGATGTGGAGAAAAAGGAACTCTCCTGCACTGCTGGTGGGAGTGCAAACTGGTCCAACCACTATGGAGAGCTGTGTGGAGATTTCTGGACCTACTAAACATAGAGCTTCCATATGATCCAGCAATTCCACTCCTAGGTATTTACCCAAAGGACACAGAAACATCAATTCCAAAGAACACCTGCACCCCTATGTTTATAGCAGCACTGTTTACAATAACTAAGCTTTGGAAATAGCCCAAATGCCCAAAAATAGATGACTGGATCAACAAGATGTGGTACATATATACCATGGAATATTACTCAGCATTCAAAAAAGATAAACACATGCAATTTGCAGCAACATGGATGGCACTGGAAGGGATCATGCTCAGCGAAATAAGCCAAAAAGAAAAAGAAAAATACCGGATGGTCTCACTCATAGCAGGAATCTAGAAAACTTAAATAAGGGACCAGGAAAATGAATATAAGAAAGTGAAAATCAAAATCAACAAAAAACTATGAACCAGAGACACTTTTTGGGGGGTGAGGGGCGGGAGGGGAAGGATTGGGGTCAGAATGTGGCGTTTGCAATTGTATGGGGGAATATAAAAATAAAATTTAATATTTAAAAAAAAAAATAAAGATATTACTGAGAAAAAAAAATAAAATTTAAATAAAATTAAAAAAATGGAATAGCCAAGATATGGAAACAATCCAAATGCTCCAAAATAGATAAATGCATCAAAAAGTTGTGGGTATCTATATAATGCAATATTACTCAGTGATCAAAAAGACAAACTCATGCTATCTGTGGTAATATGGATGGAGCTGGAAGGAATTATAGTAGGTGAAATTAGTCAGAAGGAAAAAGATGAATACCAGGTGGTTTCTCACTTATATGTGGAATACGGAGAAATAAAAAAAGGTCAAGAAAAAGGCAAAACTATTAATTAGCCATAGAACTGGGGCATACAACAAAGAAGGGAATGGGAGTGGAAAAACAGGGGCGGGATGAACACAAGGGAACAAACTGATGGTTCACATCATAATGATACGGTGGCAGAATTTTGGGGACTGCAATGATATAAGAAAAAAATTAATTAATTAAGAAAATAATGAAATAAACACTCTCAAATAACTTTCCTTGTTCTTTGTCCGGATGGTTGCAGCAAAGACAACTTCCTACTTAGCAGTGTGGCTCCCCCTCCAGGAATTTATTTATCACAACCTATATAACTTCTCAAGAGGCCTTGTTCAAGATGGATTTGGCCTACTTTTTGTATTATACCTCTTGAACACCATGAACTTTCATAGATTTTTGTCATAAGTCAAGGTGCTTACTTCTGATTCCACTTTATTTTGCTTTTGTGTTTAGACAGAACTCTCATAGATGCAGCCTGATGTTGCCCTCCTGATCTCAGTTTGTTACACAATTTTAGCTTATCTATTAAGCATTAAGCATCAGTTTTTTAGCCTGGGTCACTGAGAAGTTCAGAGGAGTCCCCATCTTTTAATGACACTGGCTCAGACTTAGCTGTTACCAAATTTTACAACTAGTTCTCCAAGTGCCTACTATGAGTGGGTTTCTTGAGATATTTAATTACTTTTCAGTCTCTTCATATAATCCTCATATAATGAGGAGAAAAACATAACAGGGGGTTTCTATAGCTGCCATCCTCCCTTCACTGTGGATTATAGGGGCTCACTGCATGTTGATCACCAACCGCCTGTTGAGTTGCTCCATCTGCTGGATAGACCCCGATCTCCTCATTCCATCAGGGGTAGCTGCTACTGTAGGACGCTGCCAGGTGGTGGTGCGGTTCACGTGGTCCACATAGAAGACCCGCCCATGACTGTCAATGCGAGCTTCCCAATCTAGTGTGTTATAAAAGAGAAAAATCAAGGACAAAATACTGATCCATGTAAAATAGATACCACTTCCAGATCTTCTGGAGGGAGAAGTCACCATTGATTACTTACTGAAGGCCAGACACTGCCCACAGCATCATCCAAGCCTTCTGAGGGTTTGGCATGGAACCCACATCCAGAAAGGAGCATACTGGACACAGATTCACTGCTGGGCATTTTAAAGAGCACGCTTCCTCAAATATGACCTATGTTAAAATTCTAATATTTTCCAGAGAAAAAATTTTCTATTTTGTCAATATTGTTAGCTACTCAAATGACAACAGGAAGATTAGACAAATCCTATAATGAGAACTGTCATCTAATGCTGGGGAATCCTTTCTTTGCTAAATCTGATACAGGATGGCAAGTCAGGTGAGGGAATGATAGTCTTTGTACAAAAACTATTTTTTAATTATAGTTCTAACGTACTGTGCAAGCAACTTTAGATGACCTCTATCTTAGCAATCTTGACCAGCAGTTATTCCTTTTTGAGAGGGAGAATGGGAGGATGTGATACCCAGGGTTTCAAACGCTCCTTTAATAAGCTGCAAATTCACAGAGTATATTCAACCCACCTGTGGTTGCCAAAGATCTCTTGACCAAAACAAAACAAAAAACAAAACAAAACCAGTAACAACTATTAACAAACATCCAATTTTTAAAGACCTCTTTGTGGATAACCATTCCAAAGAGTAGGAGGAGCTAAAGTTCCTTCTCAAATTTATAAACCAACCAAATAAAAGGTAGACTTATAGATATTACACTACATAAAAATGTAGGAGCTGGGGTGGGGTGGATAAAATAGCCTTCAAAACGGAGAGAGGGCAGTTATGCACACATATCTGAGCTTAACATAGACAATATCTATTGTTCAGAAATGGACTTTTAGAGTCTATATAAAAATGTGGTGCAAATAACAGCTTCATGATAAAGTTATAATGCAATTGACTAAAGAAGAAAAAGCAAAAATGACTGCAAATGGAGGAAAACCATTCAGCCCTTTAAAATGACAAAAGCTATAGCTTTGGGGAGTAGATCAGATAGTAATAATTCCACAGAAAAATTATTATCCAGGTAATGACATAGCAACTCAACTTTTAAGTGAAAAATTCAATGTACTTGTTGTATTTATGGTTATATATTATATGTGCATGGCATATCTGTTTGTGAACATTATGGCTTATGTATAACATCTTCCTGAGGGATTACCAAATAATGCCCAACAGAAACCAAAATTCCAGAAAACACCAAATTTACTTCATAAAGTAGATTGAAGAAAAAATGTCAGCTTGCACAAATATGTTTCAGGAGGTTTTAATAAAAATTGATTACTAGATAATCCAGCTGCCAAGTTGTAATTAATTAGTTCATTCATGAAATTGTGTTTATGTTTAACTACTTGATCCAAATAATGTAATCCTGTTCCAATTTTTTTTTTTTTTAATTTCAGTGATTTCTAAACTAGTGACAGCTGGGCAATTTTTTTCCCTTGACTCTAACATAACTGTCACCTAACAAAGATGAACATTAATCTTGGAGGAGTGTCATCCTATTTAATTCAATTGAACATGCTCCTTTTAACCTCACCCTGAACTAGAAACTGTGCCATGTCCTGAGGACACATTGCTGAGTAACACATGTCCCTGTCATCAGGTACCCATGGTAAAAGGAAGAATTCCATCAAAGACAAAATTTCACCTTATAAATTCTCTAGAGGAAAAGACTAAAGAATGATGCAGTGACAATACTATGTAATTTCTTTCCCCAAGTGTCAATATTCCAAATTATTCTTGGAAAAGAAAGGCAAAGCATACGGATAGTTTTTTGATTTTTTTTTGGTCAATGTATTAAATGTTTGGAATTCATAGTGCTTATTATATACTCTTAAAAACATTCAGAAACTAATAGCCATGTGTAATTGGAGGTTATGAATATGTTGTCTAGGCTGTTTTGAGAAACATTTCACCTACTACATAAGTCAAAGAAAAAACAAATTCCAGTAAAACTTCAGGTCTCAGCATGTCTCTTGATTGATTTGGCACTGTGATGCCTTAACAGATTTCTGAATATGAATATTATTCTATGATGCTGTGGCAAGTTAAAGTAATTCCTTTGCATTGTGACTTATCAAATTCATTTTGACTTTTCAAATACTAGATTATATTTTGTGTTCCATGAAATTAAGAACAATGTGGAACCTAATAATGTACCAGCTTTAATTATTATTAACAAAGTTCTGTAAAACTTATTTTTTTTACTTTAACAAATACAATGTCATGTTTTCAGTTTAGACTTTTGAACTTTAGTCACATAGGCAATTGCCTTTTTATTGTCACTAGAGGGATCTCAAATATTATATTACATCTCAAATATAACATGATCAAAACAAACTTCAGGTCTTTCATACCAAAGTCTGTTCTATCTGCAGTCTTCCTTTCCCATCTTAGCTGAAGGCAACTCTATCTTTCTAGATTAGAATTCTGAAAGTCATTCTTGACCCCTGTCTTTCTCTTCACACTTCACATTCAATCTGTCAGCAACTCTACCTACTAAATATATGTCCAGAATCTGACTACCCCATACTATCCCCTTGATTCAAGTCACCATTGTTTCTCACTTGGGTCACTGTAATAGCCATATGTTGGGCCTCATGCTTCTATCCTTCTTTCTCACAATTTAATGACAACAGAGCAACCAGAGAAAACCTGATTAAGACAGGTAACATCTGTGTTCCAAATCCTATGATGTCCCCTTTTCATCCAGAGTAAGACCCTTACTCTGCAAAACCTTTATCTGGAACCCTGTTTTCTGCCTGACTACAATAGCTACTACTTTCTCCTTTCTTAAATCTGGTCTCCTCGCTCTTCCTCAGACCCACCAGGGTATTTCCATCTAGGGATTGGCAGGAAGCTCCCCACTACTTGCATATACATTTTCCCTGCCTCTCACAATTCTAGCTTCAAATATTGTTTTTACAGTGAAAGCTAACTGATAACCCTATTTAAAATTGCAAAACAACCCCTACTCCAGATCCTCTTTCCCTATGTTACCTCTTTATTTATTATATATTAATCTATTTTTGCAAGACTAGACTATAAGCTCCATGAGAGCAGAGATATTTGTTATATATACTTAAAACAAAACCTCAAACAGAGTAGGGATTTAATTAATATTTGTTGAAGGAATGACTCTCAGTCATGATGTCTTCCAATGCTTTATTTGAGATGATCTAAGAAAACTCCACTGTTAGACTTAACTAACAAATTTCATTGTTGCATGGACATAATATTAAAAGCTATCTGGAGAAAATTTTTTTTTGTTATTAAAAGCAGTTTATATAAAGTAATTATTTAAAATACACTTATGTTCCATTATTTATATCTGTATGTAAAACTATTTGTGACTAGTATAGCTAGTTACAGTAACTCCAATTGCTTATTGGAGGTCAATTCAATTATACACATATTGGCAGTTATTTGTTATGGGGGAAGCTCATTTTTCCTGGAGAGAATGTGTTATAGATATTTTTTCAGATCAGTGCTAATTAGGAAGTATTTATAGTGACATTGAAATTTTACTATCCACTTACGGCATATCCATATATCAAAATATAAATGAAGAAAGAGATCAGGTATCAAAAGCTAAAGGGCATAATGTTTGATTTGGTTTGATTTGATATTCCTTTAAGTTAGCCTATATATGAAGATATCTATTGTTTCATCATTGATAAATTACAACTGAATAGAAGACTGAGACAAATGCAAAATATGCACATTACCAAGAGTAAATGAGTTAAAGAGTAAGCATTTCTCCTTTTGAAAACTGTTAACTGCTTGATGTAAGCAAAGGCAAAAGAATGCAAAGAAACATTGATTCCTTTCATGCTGTAAATATTTTTTAGCTGTAAAATTTACTAAATCTTAAAGGCTATCTTTGCTTGTAAAATATGCTTAATCCCAAACAGATGTTCTAAAATCCATGAACATATGTGGTGCTAAGTGAATGCATAATGTTTGGGGTGTCATTTCCTTCTAATAAGTTTATGTAATGGAGTATTATAAGGTTAAAGCATGAATGACAATCTAGAAACTTCCTTGTTCAAATTAAGCATTTAGCAAAAGAGAAAGTTTTATCTTTATCAATGAGAAAACTGTCTCTGAAAGATTACATGATATCCCCAAGTTCAGATGACCAGTTAGATAATTATTAATGACATAATACAGTTATCGGGGTAAAATGATATTGAATTCTATCCCTAAAGATGACATTGTTTTCCCAGGCAATTCCTATAAACTTCAAAAAAAATTTGAGGTGATCACTTATTAATGTAAATTATATGAGGAAAAAGCAAGTTCATGGGTCCTGATGGATTAAAGATGTTTTATTATATGGAAATGTTTGTGATATCTCAGGTCCAATGGAGAGCAGTAATATAATTCCATCTTGAACTGTTAATTTTTAGTATATAATAGTAAAATTTGGGGATTTACAGTTTTTTAAACAATTTGCAAAGACAAGTCAAATCTTATAAAAAAATACTCTTCACTTTGGAAGTGGAGGGGCACTGACAGTACTAGGTTATCTCTTCAAAGTCACATGCTGAAACCACTTGACAAAAGAGCCAATTTTCACAGTAGGTGCAAAATTTCAACAACAGGGTATGGTGGATGGGGGAAGTGTTTGGATGTTTACATAGTAGTTTATACTGACCTGTGTAGACTTGACAGGGGGAGTTAAGACATAGATTTTAAAAGCTAAAGCTTACTTGGTGGAAGAGGCTCATCGATTGTTGGGTAGTGATGATGTTCAGGCCTCAAGGAAGGAAGATGGCTGACTGGCTGGGAATTATGGAGTATAGAACATTCACCTACGGACAAGATAGTCAAGACATACAGATTCACTCATTACTGTGGCAAAGGCATTCAGATTTATTCATTGTTGTGGCAACGTCATCAAAAAAGCATGATTGTAAAACTATGACAAAAAACAACCTTCAAAAAGTGGGCAATCTATTTTTTGTGTCAGTTTGGAACAGTCAGTCATACATGACAGAGGTTATAGAAGGAATGATTAAGAAAAAAACCTGAAGAAAATGGTCAAACAGTTCATGACTATGATCTATACCTCAGAGATCAACACACAGAATCAGACTCTGTTCTTTGACTGAATATTCTTGATAGGAAGGTGGCATCAGAAAGGGACACAAAAGAAAATTAGTATAGTCTGACTTTAATTCAGCAAAAGAAATAGGATTGAGGGAGTACAGCTTTTATAAGGGCCCTTACAATCTCCACGGGCTTGTGTAAAATTACAGTTCTTTGGAGAGCTGTCACTGAAGAACTGCAAAGAGGTCATTTTTCAGATTTTGTTTTTGGAATGAAACTCAGCAATAGTGTCTTTCCAAGATGAAGTCAATAAAGTAGTGGGTCAGGAATGTAAATATCAATAGTACAGGAGATAGGAGCTGGGTGGAGAGCCAAGAAACTATGGGATCTTGTGATTATTCCACGTTATTTTGAGGAAGAGCCAGATAAGCCAGGGTGCTTGGAAAGAGAAAGGACAAGAGACAAATGAAGTAGATAGGAGGCAGAAGACTGAAACAGGAAAACTTGAAACACAGAAGTGGGATAGAAGGAAGAAGAAAACGAACATTGGGAAATTTTAGAAATAAACATCCATAGAATATGTGTCTTGATTATAATAGACATAACTAATATTATTGTCAGTCAGCTAATAGTGAACTGAACAACATTCCAAAACAGTATTATTAGGTTCCAGTAGACAATACTGTAAGGAGAATGGCGTGTGAATGGATGTCTACAGCACAGCTGTTTGAGTCACATAATCAGAGGCAGTCGCTCTTGTTCTTTGGAGAGCTAGAAGGTCCCGGGTCATGAGACATCTCCCATTCAAACTGGTTTCCTCCTGCCTGATGGGATCTTGGCTTTTTTGCAATAGCCAGAGAGCAAAGATCTGGCCTTCTCCTTTCTCTCTCCTCCATGACTGATGCAAATAAGTGTTTCATACCCCTTGGGCCAAAAAAGAAATAAACTGAAAAACAGCAGTTAAGAGCTCAAATTTCAAATTTTTCCAGAATTCCCATACATGTTAGACATGATTATTTCTCTCTAGATCCATAGAATGCTAAATAAATAAATTAGGAAAGAAGAAATGTGGGTTTAATTGAGCAATTTAATTATTAGAACTGACAAAGAAAGAGATATATGCAGGAACAAAGGATACTTTTAGTTGTTTTTTATTTGCTTGTGTGAGGTCTCTCTTTTGTTAAATTTATTTACTTTATTATTTTAATTTAGGGGTTACATTTTTACTCTTCCATATGTGCACATGTTCCACTTACCCTCCACCAAACCACTGGTGCCAATACCACAAAGGGTCATTTTAAATGTTGATTATATAGCATTATTTCTGGTGCAAATTTTGGTATGTTAACTCATATCCCTGGGATCCTCTGAGATTCTAACAAAAGTCAATGAAAGTGGCCACCAGACCAGGGTATGCACGTCTGTGTTCTGTGAATGCCACACCGATACTTGTCTTTATATGTGTTAGTCTTAGAACTGAAAAAAATATGTACAGTTGTTATGTCACCAGCTGTGTATTTTAAATTTAGTTTCTTTAAAAAAAACAAAACAAAACTTACCTCATAATTAATTCAACCAAACAGGTTAATCTCTCCTCCAAGCTAATGTAAACACATACTGTAGCTTGCAGGTTTAATGGAGCTGAGCCTACCTGCTGTGCACCCCAAGCAAATGCAATGATGTGGCTGAAGCATCTTAGCCAACTGAATGGATGGAGCATAGAGAAGCAAGTGATTCTTTTCTGCACAAGGACACAGCTCCACACACTCACCCTTGTCTCACACACAAAACATGTGTTCAGACCTGGTAGAATTCCTGAGAAGGAAACATATTCCACTTAAAAGTTAGCTTTACTGTCTGAAAAAAAAAAAGCCCTCACTCAGTGAGAGGTCAAACACTTTAAATGTGTCATCTCCTTTAATCCTTCCAGTAACTCATGAGGTAGATTCTACTTTACACCCATTTTATACACGTAGGTAACTTAGCTAAGGTATCCCAGCCAGGAAGTGGTAGGATTGAATATATATCCAAATGACCTGACAACGAGGGCCTGAGTTCATAATCACTATATTATATTGTACTTTTCATTCTCAGATTTCATAATTACTTTAAATTGTTCCTTTCATTCGATCCAAAGAAAGTTTTTAAAAACTATTTGAGGTTTAAAAAGAAGGTTTTTGTAGGGAGGAAAGAACCAAAAAGTAAATAAGGAAATAAGTCATTGCAGACTGAGCTACTGGGCATGTATGTAGTTAAGACGACCTTAACTACCTTAGTGAAGATTTCATAATCTTAGAAGTTGCAGCATGGAGGCAAGAGCGAGTCTTCTGGAAGAAGAGAGCACATGTATGTATATCAGGCAGCTTGTGCCAACATCATGCTCTTTGAGCATATGCTTTTGGGGTCCCAGTGCATGTGAGCCACTGTGCTGGCACCATTATCTCAGGGACTCACTACTGAGGGAGGGGAACCTGCCTGCAAGGTCATGAACCCATGTATGCATGGCCTTCCTGAGATCAACAGTTCCTCTCAGCAATCTTCATATTGCCCCTTGTACGACCATAGCGAAGACTTTGTGTGCTTCTTAAACTTTTCTGAGCATACAGTCTGCAGAAGTCAGAAATTTAGACATTTCTTTAGAAAATGCTGTGCAAAGACTTCCATTAAAGGCCATGAAACACTTTGCTCTCCATTCTTTAAAGGGGGTGGCTTCCCCCTGCTAGTGTTGATCCCTCAAGAGTATGTACAGCGTCTTTTTTGTAAAGTATGTTTTTATATTCATGTACACTGAACCAATTTTTAATGAGCCATGTGTGATTGTCTCTAAAATCAAAGGTCAACATATGTATATATACCCCATAGGCTAAAAAATGTTTTGACAAACTATATGAATCCAGCCTTCTTTTTGTATGGCTTTCATCTCAGAATGGCAATTACATTTTTAAAGGTAAATATGTTTAAATAAATAGTCTTTTGGTTACAACAGTTGTTGATTTTGCCTCTTCACACACAAAGTCTAAAATATTTACTATCTGGTCCTTTACAAAATAAGTTTATTGATCTTTAGTCAAAATATTCTTTCAAGCTCTTAGTTGTGCCCTTTTATATATACTCTATATACTAATTCTGTTGTAATTATTGAGTGTCATCCACAAGTTGTCTGTTACCAATCCATATTTCTGTGCCCAGAAAGATGTATATCTGATCTAGAATAAAAGTATTCAAAACTTCCATGTTAAAGAAAGGAATTGTCCACCCCATCATCATACGTTTTGGTACTTTCCATATTGTGTGTCACTACAGTTTTCCTTCCTGTGTTCCTCTTTCTTTACCAATTTCCATGCCTTTCTTCTTATCAATGGCTCTTTCTCTGAAATGTGGAATTGGACACCATTGAATACTTAAAAATACTTTTTTTTTTGTGCACTCTTTAGTTCCTGTAAAGCTTTTTAGGTGCCAGCACTTGTTAAGTTGCTGATAATTCAAACATAAGGAAGATACAATCTGGCCCTTGATGAGCTTACAATCTAGAGACACACCACAGTTTGTTTTGAAGCAATTTAAACAGAAAAAGAACAAACTAGCAGAATCTAAATTTTCCTCTTTAAAAAAAAAAATGAATATTTCATATTCTGTGTGACCTTTCAAAATTTGCCCCCTATGTCACCATCACTTGACTGAAAGATAGCTTCCAATTCTGGATAAGAAAATGCAAACTTAGTTGTGACTAAAAAGGAATGATTTTGTTAAAATACAGAAATACATTTTTAAAACTAAAGGTGACAGCTTTTGAATTAGACTTGAAACAAAGTGATTTGCACATTAATGTTACTCTTTCCTTTCATTGCCAAAATAGGCCAAAACAACAACAACAACAACAACAACAACTACAACAAAGCCAATAACGAGAACTGAGCAGACAAATAAAGACACATATGTGTAGGCCGTACATATCCATATGCACATAGACTAGTTAAATTCTAAAACAGAGGTAAAATCAATGTTCTTCAACTGATATTACATTTATTGCTAACCTTCAATATGTTTCAGGAAGTCAGCATATGTTTACATGCTATCTACCTAATGTTGATGGATGACTATCTCTCCTGTTTATGTCATTTGATACTAGGCTAGGTGCTCTGGTTGCTGTCATGACTAGAAGGTTAACAAATACTCTAAACAGTTCTGGTGATTGGTTAAAACAGAAGCACACACACAAGGGCACATTCAAATGTGTGCACCAGTTATAATTCTTGGTGCATATCTGAGAGGTGGTGGGTGTCTGCTCTTCATAGTCACAGATACTTACATACACATAGACACATGCACACATGTATGTACAGGACAACCATACGTTGCCACAGCAACCTCACGTGGGTCGATGCTCTCTCGTTTTTACCAAGTTGGTGAAACCTATGTCCCCCTGGTGTTCCCATCTCACTCTGACCAGGTTTGAGGTCTAACCTTCTCTCCGATGGCTTGGCCCTGCCATGGGGGACTCCAGACCTTCCACAAATCTTGTCATGCTCCCGGCGGGGGCAGCCAGCTCATCTTGCCACGGCCCAGCGCCATTCACGGACTCCTGGTCCAGTTCCGGGCTCTGCACTGAGTCTGGTAACGATTCGAATGCACTGTTTTCCTCCTCGTCGTCTTGGGAGGAGAATACAGTGCTTTCGGAGATCTTAGCGCTGTCCACGGAGGAGAAGCGGGTGTGGCTGGCGAACCTGCTGCCATTGTAACAGGAAGGGCTGTAGCAGGAGGCGCTGTAGCAGGAGCTGCTGTAGCAGGAGGTGCTGTAACACGACGAGCTGTAGCAGGAAGGGCTGCAGCAGGATGCATCGCAGCCCTCGCAGCTATGATCCCCGCCCTGCCGGGGGCTGGAGTCGCTCTCACTCCCGGCGCTGGGGTGCGCGGTACCATCCACAATCAGTCCGTTGGCTAAGCCTGAGTGGCCAGGAGGCGCCCTTCCTGGACTAGCCCCCTCGGGTTCCTCTCCATCCTCCTCCGCAGAAGGAGGCTCAGCAGCTACCGTGTCCACTTCGCTGAGCCCGTCCTTCTCCGAGGTGTCCTTGAGAGTTGTCTCCTCCTCCGCCCCACCGTCCTCCGCGCTCGCGTGGTGGGCTGTGGGCATGCTGTGCAGCAGGGTGTGGATGCGAATGTAGTGCGTCCGCGGGGTCTCGGGGTCACCACAAGCGGACGCGATCACTGTCTCCAGTTCAGACACCGGCAAGGAGCACGGCCTGCTTTTCCTCTTCACTGAGGCCCGCAGTTGCAGCCTGTTCTCTCCCTGCTTTAAGGCAGACACGACCCCCTCCTCCTCCTCTGCCAGTTCCTTTTCCTCTTCTGTCACCCCAGCCCGGCTCTCTGTCACAGCTTCTTCTGACTCCGGCTCCCCAGCACCACGTGGAACTTCATCATCCTCTAGTAGCCCGGGTGGAGCCTCCACCCCACCCAAGTCTGGTCTCTCCGCCAGTTCTGCAGTCAGGACAAGCTTAGTATCTTCTCCACCCAAGGCCAAAAGCTCCCCAGCCCAATCAGGACCCACAGAGGCTGTGCTGCCGTCTCCTGCCTGGGTGGTACCTGTCCCTTCCTCAACAGGATTGACTAGTCCCAGGCTCATATTGTTTTCAGGGTCCATGGCGTTTCCCTCACTAGGCTGCTCCGGCTTCAGGCTCCCAGTGAGCTCTAGTGCTTGGTACAGAGGCTCCCCGTTGCTGTTTGCCACCTGGTTGTTCATGGGGCTTTCCTGAATTTCCACTGACTCGGGTTCAGTACTCAGGGAAATCTCCTCATCATCTGCAGCAAGATAAAATAAAAGTAATTTCCTACAGTGTGCATGAGTATACTCTGCCAGACATGTAAGTCATTGCTAAGGGATTTTTACTTTAGGATACTAGATGCAGGGGTTTATGAGTGGTTCTCATTGGCCAAAGCTCTGCTGAAAAATTCTATAAGAATGCATTTCCTATGTTAATGACAATTTGCATTTATAGTATATTTCAGAATTCTGTGTCAAGGAATTCATTTTTTTGGTTAAATGCCCAAAGTCACGCACATGTGCCCTGGGCACATAGTAGGTGCTCAACAATGTTTGCTACTGTTAGATATTAGAAATATGGGTGGGATATAGTTCCTTGTTGATACCAAGTCAGAGTGTTTGCTGAAGTTGGGTCTGTCAGAGTGATATAATGGGTAAGTCAATTTTTAGTTAACCATGAGTGAAAGAAACCACAGTCATTCCACTAGACAGCTTCCCATATTTCCACATTATTGCCCTGGAAGGATGAAATGAAGTCTCCATACCAAACAATCGTTCAAGAAGTAGCAACCACAGTTTACCTCTCCCTACCCCTTGTTGCTCTACTGGATCCCTGTCAGATATGAACTTCACCTTTCAAATATACTGGTGTAATTCACTCATCAGAGGAAAACAATCCCTCTCCTATGCTATATATAGGCTGTTCTTATTGCTACAATGTAAGAAGAGTCACTCTTATTTGCAGAATGTAGAGAAGGTTTAATATGAAAGAACCAAAAATCAGGGTGTTTTCTCACAATATGCATTGTATATAGAGTATAGAAAAGAGAAAACAAAGTTTAATGAGTTAGCAATGATAAACTCTGAGTTCTCAAAAGCTTCATTAACTTTAAAACATGTCATAAGATTGGCCCAGGAACAGCAAACAATTCCCAGCATGATCCCACTTTGTGGGAGAAGAGCAAAAGTGGAAATATGATGCATTTCATCTTCCTTACCTAGAAATATGTTTCAACTTGAAATACTGAACATTAGATGATGCTGAAGCTGTTTGCCAAATTTGTAGTTTTCATCTTTCCCTGTGACATTGTAAAAATCCATTGTACTATCATAGTTCTTTGACAATATGACACGTATCCATTCATTTGTTTCTCTTTCATTCATTCATTCACTCACTCATGTATGCAATGAGTAAACATCTATTGACCACCTACTATGTGGAAGCTGTTAGTAAAATTATTAATTAGACACAGCTCTATAACCATGTTGGCCTCATTGCCAACCCCCACTCCATTGTCTAAGCCTCAACTTTGGGGTATCAGAATGAGGAGGAGCATTTCAATCAAGGACTTCTAGAACTTGGCTTTCACAACAGATCACTAGATTCTGGGTCTCAAACAGAAGAAATAGAAAACTATAAAACCCAGGATATGTCTGGAGAGGACCATGGTTATTGAATTTTAAACAAAAGAACCTCACATTATATTACTAGACAAGGATAAGACACCAAGTTCATGCTGACAATACCTGGGTGGATGGAGGACGTAATCTCAAATCGGAATTGCAGCTGTCCACTCACATGATCTGTTGGAAGTCTGCGGCCGAGGGTGTAGCTGACCACCCTATCCCTAGAAGGAAAGAGGCACCATAAAATCTCTGGTAAATACCTCTCCTAAGGATCATATGATGTGCTTTCCATGCCAGCAGGTGAGGCAGGCAGGCCCAGGGATATCCTGCTAACAGGAGGTTATGATTTGCTCAGATACAAATGACATGATACTAAGGTAAAGATGGAAAGCTTCCATAAAATCCTCATTAAATAAACTAAAGCAGGAATCATCAAACTACAAGCTATGGGCCTCAACTGTGAACAAACCTGTCTTTGTGCACCCATGGGCTTTATACACTTTTAAATGGTTAGAAGAAAAGTATAAGAGTAATATTTTGTGACATATAAGATTTATGAAATTTAAATTTCAGTTTCCAAATATGGAAGTATTACTGGAATGCAGCCATGCCTATTGGATTGCTTATTGTCTGTGGCTGTTTTCATGCTACAATGGCAGGGTTGAGCAATTGGAACAGACTATATGATGTACAAAGACTATGTGATGTATATTTGCTATCTGATCTTTTACAGAAAGGATGACCACCTGTATTCTAAAGGAAAAAAAAAAAGAGAAGATGAATAAAGAGAGAAGGAGGGAGGTAGAGAGGGAGGAAGAAGGGAAGTAAGAAGGAAGACATTTCGATTGCTTTTCCTGTGCAGGCTATATTTTCCAATGTGACCTAAATAATGGACAGAACCAGCAGCAGATGCACGTGTTGTGGTATATATGTGCTATGTAAGAAAGAATGCTGCATAGCTAAGGGACCCCTGTGGAGCACTTCAGCCTGCTGTAGGATGCAGGGAAGCAAGAATTGTGGGTTAGTTTCACTGATCTGTGACATCCAATTACACCAATTCCAGGATCCCACACAGAGACCCTGAAATTCCACCCTGGACTTGGGCACCATCCCCTCTGCATACTCAAGGCAAATTATTAATTATGAAAAGGAAAATTAGTTGGGGGAAATCAACTTGAAATCTTGCTGTTAAAGTTCATTAGTAATGTAGCTTCAACAGAGTACATTTCCCCTACCTTGAACTAAATAAGAGGAATAAATATCTTGGGAGATTTAGGAATTAACAAATCTGGTGTTCCCAATAATAAAAAAAGACATATTTCAAAACCAACTGTTATTCAGATGATTCTGTATTGACTCCATTTATTCATTTGTGACATTCAAGTGAAGAGATAAATCTCTTGCTGATAATGATTTAATGACATGTCTAGGAAAATATCAGGATTAAGAAACAGCATATTTCAATGATCCACTGAATTGGTATTTTTCTTTGGTAAGCCATAGTTTAGTGTTTGAAATTCATTAAACAAAGCATTATAGATAGAAATAATAGAACAAGTCACAATATTTTCTTTATTTAGAAGGGTCCTGGGTCAATATTATGACATAGCTTTACAATGATCATATGAAATACATCCTACACACACGCCCTAGTTAAAATTGTGGGAGGCATAAAGGCAAACAGACTGTGAAATAAAGTTTAAGTTGATTATGTTGTGTATTGGCTTTCTGGGCCTTTTTTTTCCTTTGCTCTTCATCTACTTCAGCAACAAGTGTTTTGAGCCTGTGCTGTATATAAGTGCTGCAGCTGATAGCATGCATAGCCCTTGCCTTTCAATATCTTACATCCTCTTGGGGGTGTAATGCAGAAGTACTAAATAATCACTCCAGGAAGTTGGCAATATTTTCAAGTTGAAGGTGACATGGTTGGGGTTAGAAACTTTAGGGGAGGCAGAGAGAATCAGCTGGGGTTTGAGAAAGTAGAGGCAAAGGAGTAGAGGGTGCATTAAAAATGAGAATGTACATGTGCTTACAAGGAGCAGGAATAAAAATTTGAGGCAGGAAGTAGACCATGCAGATGGAACAAGGGTTACTAAAGCAGTGAATGCAGGGGGATGGATTTCTAAGCATTCACTGAGTGCAGAGGGAAGCCATGGAGGGACATGGGTATGCTTTTTTCTAGGAGTGCTCTGTGGTTTCGCCATGGCCCAGGCTTAAAAGGCCACTGTTTCCATAGCCATCACCCCATAGGCCTATTTTACATTGGGACACCCACAGAAATGGGAGCACTGCAGAAGTGGTTTTCAGGGGTGATGGAAAGCAGCAGGCTTTGGGAGTAAGAATCAACCGCGCCCCCCACCCCCCAAGGATGGACAAATTGGTTTATGAAATGAGACTTCCAGTGACATGGAAGAGCAGGTGGGTTCTCTCTGAGGCTCTAATGAGCAGGATAAGGAAGTTCAATTCAACAGACTCTCTAATGCATGGTAGGCAACTATGTGTGCTGGGGATGAAGAATTTTACCCAGCCCCTCTTTATGTCCTCCAGCCCTCCCTTTGGCAGAAGTGTTAGCACCATGCGAGCAGACATTAGGCCAGAGAAGGAGAGAAATGAAAAATGTGGCCAATGATAAACTAGACAATTGTACCAGTCACCTTTCAAGGAGTCTTTTGCATGAGAGGCACTGTGGCTTTGGAGAGAGGCCAGTATGGGTGTGAATTCTGGCTGCATCCCTCTACTCACAAGCCTTGTGCTCTTACATAATCATGCATCCTTTCTAAGCTTTGATCCCTTATGTAGAAGAATGGTGCTTAAGTCACATATACTATGAAGACTAAATTAAATAACAGTGATCATAAAAATTACTGTTCCCTTCTTAGGTCCTATGTAGTGCCAGGGACTACTGCATTTGTAGTGCCAGGGACTACTGCATTTGTTTGTACATTTTTTTGCTTAATTCTCACAACATAAATGGAAAGTGCAGATATAACTTGGCACATGGCGATAGCTGCATACATGTCAACTCTCTTTCACTTGAGAGTTAATAGCAGTGCATCTCTGCACACAGCTCCATACATGCCATAGGTTTCCAATGAAATGTGCTTAAAATAGTCATTCATGATTTCAAAGTTGCACTAAATCCAAAGGGCTTTAAATTAAGATACTTGGAAACTGCATATTTTTTTTCAGTTTTTATATCATTTTATATATTCTGAAAATATATTCTGAAAAAAAAGTAACAATTGCTGCCATTTCATGAGCATTTGTGCTTTAAATTTTCATGTTATCTTCCATTTTCTGCAAACATTAGCATTTTACAAGAGACTCCAGTGATAAAACTTTCCATGTTATGAAATATTATAAATGACATATGAATGAAATTATATTCTTCCTAGTAAAACAAACTTAATTCTACCTGTATAGGAAAATGCTGTATTGAGTGTTTCTTTCAATATTGTGTCTTAGACTTTTCACTTTTCTGCCTGAGTGGCCAGTGATAGACAAACAGGAGCAAAGGGAAAGGCTTGTTTAATTAAATTTGTGGCTTGAGCAACATAATTAATGGGAGAAGCCAAGGAAATTCAATATCATAATTTTAGTTTGAGTCTCTATGAGACTATACTGTTGCAGCTTACACGTCTCCCTTGGGCATGGTCTGCTGGCTGAAGCCTAGTGATATTGAGGTCTCAGTCACAGGTTTACCCTATGGCGTGTCTTTCCAGTAGTCTCTGAACAGGCATCGATAACTTTCCCAAGAAACGCTTGATGATGGGGCGGCTCTTGGCAAACTTGTCCTTCACCTCAATTTCCAGCACATCAGTGGGTAAGGACACAAAGCTGAATTGCTGCAATGAAATAATATGTCACATCAATTAGTTGAGATGTGCAAGGGTTTACCAATTCCCTATCCCTCCGCCTTTGGATATCTGTAAAACACCCATTGTTTTGTACACACATTCACTACACACACACACACATACACACACACACACATCCAGGCACACATAGACATTGGTCTCAGAAACTATGAACACTGTTTTTTTTTTTTTTTCCTATAAATGAATACTGGTGACAATGAGTGGTTTCTTGTTTCTTAAAAATGAGGTTATTTTCTGGGATCCAAAAAATAAAATCAAGTTACCTTAAAGTGAAAGAATACTATCTGGTCCTCACTATATTTGAATAATTATTGGGTCAATGAAGAAATCAAAGGAGAAGGTTATCTGGAGGGTAATAAAAGTTAAGATACAACCTACCATATCCTATGGGATTTATTAAAAACACTATCAAGAGGAAAGCACATCAATGAACAAAAAAGCCTCAAACACTCTAACTCTACATTTGAAGAAACTAGAAAATGAACAAACAAAGCAAAAAATCATTACAGTGAAGGAAATAAATGAAATATAAAACAAAAGTACAAAAGATCAGTGAAACCAAGTTGCTTTTTTAAAATAAATAAATAAATAAATAAAATTGATAAACCCTTAACTAGGCTTACTAAGAGAAGAGATAATGAGAAATGAAAGAGTCAAAATTACAACGTAGGCTGCAGAAATATGAAGGATCACAATAACATAATAACCATGTGACTTATTGGGACTCATTCCAGGGATACAAGGGTGGTTCAAGATATGAAAATCAATCAATGTCATTCAGCACAAAAGATAAAATCACATGACTGTTTCAAAAGAAGTTGAAATAGCATTTGATGAGTCTTCAACCATTTAGTTAAAAAATCATAATAAAATGGGAATAAAAGTAACATATTTCAACATAAAAAGGCCATATATAACAAACTCACAGCAAATATCATAGTTAATGGTGAAAAATTGAAAGCATTTTCCCTATGATCAAGAACAAGACAAAGATGTTTACTTTCACCACTACTTTTCAAGATAGTATTGGACCTCCTATCCAGAGCAGTCAGGCAAGAAAATAAATAAAAAGAATTGAAATTGTAAATGAAGAAGTGAAATTATATTCTAAAAATCTATTAGAAATAAATTAAAATGTAATGTGGCAGAATAAATATTAACATACAAAATCTTTTGTTTTTATATGTAAACAATTAATTAGAGGAAAGAGAAATTAAGGATAACAAAAACATTTATATGGGCCTCCCCTGGTGGCGCAGGGGTTGAGAGCTGGGTTGCGAGACTGCCTGCAGCCTCTGCAGCGCCAGTTTGATCCCCGGCCACCTGCGAGGGTCCCACAAAAAAACAAACAACAACAACAAAAAAAACATTTATATCACACCAAAAAGAATGAGATACCTGGGGGTAAGTTCAACAAAGGAGACAAAGGGCCGATATACTGAAAAGTATAAGACCTTTTCAAAGGAAATAAGAAAGACACAAAGAAATGTAAAGATATCCCTTGTACATAGTTGGATGAACAAGTATTTTAAATTACTATATTAGCTAAAGAAATTTACAGATTCAACACATTACCTATCAAAATTTCAGTAATATTTCTCAAGGAAATAAAACTAACAATTATAAAATTTGTATGGAACCACAGAAGACCCTGAATAACCAAAGCAATAAGTAAAATTGAAGTATTACACCACACTGTTTCAAACTAAAGTGATAGTAGTTAAAACTACTTTTAAACATCTTTTAAATTGGAATAAAAAAGGAAAACAAAGTGAAGTGGAATAGAATAGAGTCCCAGGAATAAATCCATACAAATATGGAAGGTTAATCATTGATAATGATTAATACAATGGGAGAAGGAAAGATTTTAATCATATTGGAAAACTGGGACACACAAGTTAAGATCATTACTTGACTTCATACACAAAATTTAATTCAAAATGTACTGAAGACTTGGGTATAAATTCTGAAGCCATAAAATACATAAAAAACAGAAGAAATATACTCCTAGATATCAACCATACAAGTTGCATTTCAGGATGCAACCCTTATGGCAGAAAAAAAAGCAAAAATAAACAAATAGGGCCACATCAAATCCAAATGAAAAAGTATTTTTACAATAAGACAAACCACAAAAAAACTAAAATGGCCTCCTATGGACTGAGAGAAGTTATTTACATATCACATGACTAACAAATGGTTAATTTCCAAAACAGTAATAAATCATACAACTCAACTACAACAAAAGACAAACAACCCAATCAAATAATGGGGAAAAGACCTAAATGGATTCTTCTACAAAATGAATATCCAGATATTCTCTATAGGCACATAAAAAAATGTTTAATATCTCTTATAAGAGAAATGCAAATCAAGACCACAATGAGATGTCACTTCATCCTTGTGAGAATGGTCTCTGTCAAATAGTCTGGAAACAAATTTTGGTGAGTATGTTTAGAAAAATGAACATTCATCCACTAATGGTGGTATGTAATTTGGTGCAGCATCTATGGAAAATGTTATGAAGATTCTTCAAATAAGTAATAATGGAAATACCATATGATCCAGTGATACCACTTACAGGTTATGAAAACACTAAGACAAAAATATTTATGTACTCCCTAGGCCAATAGTGCATTCTTCACAATAGTTAAATCATGGCATCAACCTAACTGTCCATCATCTGGTGACTGGATAAAGAGACTGTGGAATATATAATCAGTGGAATCCTACTAAACTACAAAAAAGATGAAATAGTGTATTTTAGAAGGAAATGTGTAGGTATTTAGGTGACTATACTCTGTGAAATTAATGAGAAAGCTAAAAAGTTTTCAGATGATTATACTCATTTTTAAAATATAAATAATCAAAGAAAACAAACAGGCAAAACAACAAAATAATTGAAAAAAAAAAAAACAACTAGATACCAGAGGGAATGAGGGGTATGGGAAGACTGAATAAGAGAGGGAAGATGATAGGGTTGCGACACTAGCGATTTTTTGGAGGATTAGTGAGGCATGTGCACACAAGAAAGTGTGAAGTTGTACTCTCCAAATTAAATAGCAGTAAACAATAGGCATATCAAAAAAATTTGAGAAAAAAATATTATAATGAATTTTAATAGCATTTGTTTTATTCCCTGCAATTCTTTTTCTGCATTTTCCATACTTTTTATAATTAGCTTGCATTTTTTTTCATAAAGGAAAATGTAATCACTTTTATTAAAGCAATCGTATTCGTGTCTATGGAAGCCTGAATAGGATAATGAAATTAATCAAAATGTACTTTGAAGGTCAGTGACAACTCCTGAGTTCTTTACTCATTCCATGAAGACTTTCTTCTCAGCCCTTCTTCACACAGCCTCCCCTTCACTCCAGGTATCAGCCTCTCCCCACCAGGTATTTATTTCCATGCCCCAGTTAATAGAGCACATGTAGACCACAGTTAGGTCAGGGTTTTATAAGAAATAATGAGTAGCTCTAAAATTGGAAAACACTATCTATTGCACCCTTGAGACTAAGATCTGGGAGATGCATTTTGCCTGTTCTGCTAAAATCACTTTACTTCAAGCCGGTGAAAAATCTTTGGAGGTAGACTTGGCTTTTATTTTTAGACCCACACACATACAATTTCTTTTTTTTAATTTAAATTTTATTTTTATATTCCCCATACAATTACAACCCCCTTATTTTTGACCCCAAGCCCTCCTTTCCCCGCCCTCCAGCCCCCATAGAGAGTCTCTGGTTCATAGTTGTTTGTTGATTTGGATATTTTCTTTCTTATAGTTATTCTTATAGTTATTCTTTTTCTTAGTCCCTTATTTAAGTTTTCTAGATTCCTGCTATGAGTGAGACCATCCGGTACTTTTCTTTTTCTTTCTGGCTTATTTCGCTGAGCATGATCCCTTCCAGTGCCATCCATGTTGCTGCAAATTGCATGTGTTTATCTTTTTTAAATGCTGAGTAGTATTCCATGGTATATATGTACCACATCTTCTTGATCCAGTCATCTATTTTTGGGCATCTGGGGTGTTTCCAAAGCTTAGCTATTGTAAATAGTGCTGCTATAAACATAGGGGTGCAGGTGCGCTTTGAAATTGATGTTTCTGTGTCCTTTGGGTAAATACCTAGGAGTGGAATTGCTGGATCATATGGAAGCTCTATGTTTAGTAGGTCCAGAAATCTCCACACAGCTCTCCATAGTGGTTGGACCAGTTTGCACTCCCACCAACAGTGCAGAAGAGTTCCTTTTTCTCCACACCCTCGCCAACATTTGTTGTTGCTAGTTTTTTTAATATGTGCCATTCTCACTGGTGTAAGATGGTATCTCATGGTAGTTTTGATTTGCATTTCCCTGATGACAAGTGATGTGGAACATTTTTTTCATATGCCTGTTGGCCATTTGCATTTCCTCTTCAGAGAAGTTTCTTTTTAGCTCTTCTGCCCATTTTTTGACTGGATTATTTTCTTTGTTGTTGTTGAGTCTCATCAGCTCTTTGCAGATTTTTGTAATCAGTCCTTTATCATTAGTGTTGTGTGAAAATGTTCTCCCAGTTGGTGGGGTTTCTCTTTGTTTTTGGGTTTGTCTCTTTTGCTATGCAGAAGCTCTTTAATTTGATGTAGTCCCAGCTGTTTATCTTTGCCTTCACTATCACTGCTTTGGGTGATGTGTCTGTAAAGATGTCTTTGATGTGCAAATCACGTAGTGTTTCGCCTATATTTCCTTCTATGTATTTTATGGTTTCAGGTCTTATGTCTAGTTCTTTAATCCATTTTGAGTTGATTTTTGTGTAAGGTGTGAGGTAGTGGTCAAGCTTCATTCTTTTGCATGTAGCGACCCAGTTTTCCCAGCACCATTTATTGAACAAACTTTCTTTGTTCCAATGCATAGTCTTTGCTCCTTTGTCAAAGATTAGTTGATCATAAATCTGTGGGTTTATTTCTGGATTTTCTATTTGATTCCATTGG